ACTTTTATCTATTATTTTTTTCTAAGGCCTTTATTTTTATTTTTATGGCTTGTCTCTATTTCTCACTGGATAATGCTTCAGATAATATTCATAAGCATGATCCATCATTTACATATCAAAACATAAAATAATCATATGTTTGATCCTATTTTCATATATCAAAAATAAAGAAATAAATCATTTACTCATTTAAAAACATACATATATACATAAGTTTGAAAACAAGCAAAGTGTGTGAGATTCTACTTTGTGAGATTTCACTTACTTCATTTCGATTTCACCAGTTAGTTTTTCTCCTAAAATACTATTGACCTATTTAAGATGATTTCAGCGTAACATAAATTAATTAACCCATTTTGAGACCAATTATACAAAAAAAAATTAAGTTAAACAACGGTTAACTTAATTAATTAATATTGATAGCCTAAGCTCCTTTCACTAAAATAGTTACATCACAAGATATCCAACTTGAAATTAATATCTTTTTAATGTTTTAGAAACTAGACTCGATAAGATTTTAACCATATATGACCCATCTTGTGATTCTTTATAGATTAATTATAATAATTTTTACTATCTACGTCATATGTTGCTATCAGATAACATGTATACCTTCTAATAAAAATTACACATTTATTTATAGGAAACTCCAAATTCAATTTCATTTTTTTGTTGAAAAGTAGACACAATAAGCTTTTCAAACATATATGGCTTAATCTGTAATTCCTTATATAAAAATTATGAGGAATTTCGTAATTCCTCCATGTGCTGCTATTAGGTAGCCTATACATCTTTAAATAAAAATTAAACTACTCTTCATAGAAAACTTAGAATTGACTTTTGTTTTTTCATTGAAAAGTAAATTCAACAAGCTTTCTAATGGTATTAATAATCATGCCAATATTTTATTCCTTAATACATAATATTATCTTAACCTACCATTGCAAACACTAGTGTTCATACAAAATACAAATTTTTCTTTCTAAACCCATCAAATTTTTGTTTCCTATTTTCATACTAATAAATCATATTATTGAACTTTTTTAACACTTTATTAGACCTTGATTAAAGTCTAAATGATTTGCCCAAACTAATCTGGAAGAGGGATAATGGATTTCCTAAAATTTAAGATTTCTCAATTACAAGTTAAACCTTAAGACTTAACAATCAACATTATTTCTTCAAAATTGAAGAAAATTATTTACTCACCTTTGAAAGACAACTCTCTTTATAGATTTTGTTTTTATCTTTCACTTGAAATCTTTCAACTTGTCTATTCTGTATAAGAAAGAAAAGAGAAAAAAACCTTTATTTTTTTTCCATTAGTTATCGACCAAAAATATTAGTTTAAGTTAACCCTATTAAAAGTTGGGTTATTTATTGATAAATCCTTTGCCTTTCTAACTTTTTGTTGAAAACTCCATTCACTTATAAAATATTTAAAATATTATTTTTTATGAGTATTATAATACCTCTACAGAAGAAGAGTTTTCACTTTTGCTGGCCATAACCGATATAGTTTAATGGTTCAGGCCAACTTACTCTAATACCATGTAAAAAACTTAAAAAATAATTGTCACTTTTGTTCTTATTCTCTTTAAAATATAAGAGTACATCAAAATAAATAAGAACAATGAAGTTCCTTATTAGAAAACAATTTACATGAAGCAAAAAATAAAAATAATAAAAGAAAGGACAAATATTTTATTCTAAAATATAACAAATCTCTAAAAACTTAGTAATCAAAATCGTTAACTAAATAAGAAGAATAATGAGAAATATTCCCAAAATAAATTAGAAAAACAAGCTACACTAATGTAAGAGAATCAAATTGCACTAATGTAGAATAATCAAATTTTTACAATTACTGCTTTGTATATTGCTTGCAAGTGCACATATCGCATCAAGTAATACAGTGACCAAGTAGAGTATTGTTCTCACAAGGATTATGTATTAAGATTGTTGGGTGTAAAACCAACTACCAAAGATGTTTCTTTCAAACTTTATATTTAAACAAATTAAAAAAGGTTGATTAATTGAAAGTAAAAGAAAAACATTGAAGATGTGATAATTGAATGCATAGCTAGCCAACTATCACTTGGTAGCTCTAAAGGTAGATTGATTATAAAAAAAAAAAACAAAAGTAAACAAGATCAAAAGCTTGTAAAGTAAGTTGGCAGAGTGTAGAAAAAAAGCATATATCGAAAATTGAAAGTTTGTAAAGACTAGTGTGCGTGTAAATAGAGAAAGAGAGATTTAAATAAAAATAAACTTGTATTAAAAAAGAGCTTTAGAAAATAAATTTATGGTTGGTCTATCACTCTAACTAGGAGTAAAAAAAATTACAAAAGATTTAGAAAAGATCTAGACTGGTTTATCATCTTGGCCTATTTATAAAGAAAACAAGTAAAAACCAAGAAAGAAAGAAAAAAGAAAGAGGGAGAAGAGTGGGAATGAATGAGATTTTTTGAGTTACAAAAGAGCTTCCCTATTTATAGAGCTAGGATTGGCTAGGATAGGGATTGTGATTACAAGTTTACTTATATCTAAACTATAAATGATAAGCTTTATCTTGATCTTATAGAAGTATAATCGAATAAGAAGTTTTCCATATTGAGTGCATTGGCCAAATGATGTTTCTTAGAGTGATCTTTGGTGTACATGTGGTGTGCCATCTCATCATCTTGCAATCTTGATAAGAGTTTTGGCTATATTTGAATTCTAAGTGCAATATTTTTGAAGTGGTTGCATTAGGTTCAAACTCTTGAGATAAATTTTCAAGAATCATTCTTGCATAAAAAACACTAGTTTTATCTTTTGTAAAGGTATTTATCTTACATTCAAACTCTTTCAAAATAATTAAAGAATCCTTTTATAATTAAATCTCTTCTTAGTCGAATACAACTAAGAATCATTGTCTAAGTCTTCAGTTATCAAGTGCATGTAGGAGTTTTCTTAAATATGGGATGGCGGAACATATGTAGAGTCATAGTTTAATTAGGATTCCTTTTATCTCAATGAAATTAAAAGTCCTAATATCAATAAGATTCGGCTAATCTTTTTCCTTGTATGGCCAAAAATAACAAGAATTAGGATAAACCTAATCTTGCTTTTTTCTTGTAAGAATTTGCGTGGAATTCATGTCTAATAAGCTTTAAACCTAAAAATCAAGAAAATATACATTAAGGGCACCAAATTCAATCAAAATTTAAAATTTTTGGATTAAAAATGACTTGTAAAACATTATATATTTTATTGTTATCACATATCTTAAAATAATCTAAATTAATTACACATACATAAAATTTTTATCAATTGATGTTAGTTTGAAATACAAATGATATGGATATTGTCTTTGACCATTTCTTTTGTTTTTGGTAAAGATTATTAGTGTCTTTTAAAATTATTCTTAAAATATACTTGTTTTATTAAGAGTTGTTTTTTCAGTTGATTTTTCTTTTTTTCAAGTCTTACTTTGTTTTCTATATTTTTCAAGAGGGATTGAGTACTTTTTTTTATTTTGACTTATTTCATAATTTAATTTTGTTTTTATTAAGTAATCAGTAGCTAGAATAGGTAAATGTTCGAATAATGATGATTGTTTGGATTATTGATTATGTATATGCTTTGCACCTTGATTGTGATGGTAATTGATAGTACCTATTGTTTTTTTGCTTTTCTTTTTGGTGTAAGATTCTTTTTGGTGTAAGTGTGGTTTTCTTTGTGTTTTTTGTTTATATTTTTTGAATTTACTTTTGTTTGGGTAGAGAGATTAAGAAATGATAGACATACGAGACATTTAGGCTTTGTTTTGAATATGAATATTGATTATCTTGTTAATAAAAGTAGTAGTTAATCGACACATGCTAATGTTTCTGCATCCAATGTTAATAGTAGGATAAAAAAGTAGCATTAGGTAAATTAAATTGCAATATGAATAGTGGTTAATGTGTGACAGTTCATTCTACTTTAGTTAATGATTATGAGATGCATATAGTTTCATTTAAAGCTATCATGCTTATTGCTCATCCATTTCCGATGGATGTTGCATAAAAAAAGTCAATTTGTCGTTTTTTGTGTGATGGTTCCCTTTGTACTTTGCATATTGATTATTGTTTTTGATTTTTTGAAATTGCTATAAAAAATGCTTGAAGGTAGATCATGGGTAAAAGAATAAAGAGATTAAGAGTTAATAAAAATGCTAATGATTATGTTGCTAAAATTGTGATTGAATTACCAACATCTGTTCGTTTAAATGGTAAGGAGCTCGATTTTCTTTAAGTAAAGTCTTAGTTTCAAGTATTGTGAATAGAGAAAACAAGCTTGAGAGAGTTTGTTCTCTTATGAGATTTGACTAACTTCGAATTAGTCGAAACCCAAAGTAATTACTTGACATAAAAGGGTCCTAGACCAAAAAAAGGTTGTGATTGAATTAAAAACTTTAAAAATAGTAAAAATATACTAGATCAAGACACATCCATCATGTGAATGAAATGAAAAAAATAATTAAAAAATTAAAAAATATAGAAAATGTGATTGAAGAGAGAAGTTACTATAAAAATGTTGAATGATTTTTTCAATTGAATGAATGGATATTTTTAAAATAAAATTTAAAATTTCATCCTATCAAATAATGTTTATTTTATTTTATATTTATTAATGATTTATTTAAATTTTGTGTCTGGTAATGGTGTCACATCTCACAAGTGACACCAAACTCAGCACTTTTACTTAAGAAAAAAGACATGTACATAAAACACATGCATATGATGGAAACAAACGTGGCAAAATTAGAAAGAGTACTGTAATAAGATTATGAGATTCAAACAGGAGAAAAAAGGCGAAGCTGGTTCTTACACAACAGTTGATCAAATATTGGCTGTATTGTTACTGTCGTTATCTGTGACAGCAGTTTGTACAACAAAGAAAGAGTAAGCTAAACAAAATACCAAAATAAAAACACAAAAAACTCCATGTCAAACCTATTAAAAAATCATTAGTTTTTGGAAAATGGAAAATTTTCTTACAGCACGTCTAGAGATTGGAATATCTTTATCCAAGTAATACTTTTAGTAGTAATTCAAAGATTCAATTTTCATCATCAAATTTTAACTGGTAAGTTTTTATTCTGAACTCTCGAACCTTTCTGTTTTAAAGTAATTTTTTCAATTATTATTATGAAAGTTTACTAGTTGTTGCTGTTTTGAGTTTTACAAATAAAAAAGTGGCAGTTAACTGAGTTGAAAATTTTGATTTTATTATTGTGTGTCGGAGTTGAAAATTTGTTGTTTTATTGCCAGTTTTACTGTAGATTTTGGATTTTGGTGTTTTTGTATTAAAGCTGTGTGCTTTTTGCTGGGTAAGTCAATTTGGATCTTTTGCAGCTTCTCTAATTTGGGTTTTCTTTGATGTTTATGAATGATTTTGGCTTCTGGGTATTTTAGTTTGGAGCAAATTTGGCTCCCTTTGATCTTAAGAATTTTTTTTTTTTGTTTTCTGTTTAAAAAATTGGGTTGCTAAAATACTGGTTCCGGAAAGCTGGTGCCCTATTTGTTTACTTCTTTTTCAAAGCTCCTACTTTTAGGGGTTTTTATGATGTTTTTCTTGACTTTGTTTACATGGTATTAGGGTCGGTGCAAATTTGGTTGGTAGGTATTAGGACTTTTTGGATTTGTTTGTTGATAGCTACTGAATCTGGGAGGGTTTTGTAGTCTGCATTGGTTTCAAACATGGTTATGAGTTTTCAGAAAAGTCGAATTTATCGTCAATATCCTTCAAGAAGTTTTATGAAGTTTTACTTTAGTATAGCCTTCTATCTAAACTTTCAGCTACTGCTATATAGATCTGCTGTCTCTAGGATTTTTCCTTGTTCTATGGCATTGCTAGGCAGAAACTTTTAAATTTAATCTATTGAAGCTTCTGAACTTAGGGGGTTTTTATTCTTGCTTGAATATTCATTTTGCCTTCCTTTGCAATCTTGATCTGCTCGTTCTTAGAATACGTGAGACTGTGTGCATGGAAATATCAACTTCTTTGTGTGTTTTTGACTGTTGAATTTATGTACTATTAAAATTGCAACTAACATTGGTACTGAGGTTTATGTTTTTTCTTTTTGTTGACTTGATAGGTCACTCATTTATAACTTTTCATACCTTTCTCCTTTTACTTGTCCAGCTCCCCCTGTTTATTTCCAATTATGATTTTGGAATAGTAGGATTGGTGTTAAAGACATAAAAAAAATGGTTAGTCTTCTCGTCAGCCAATAGAGCTGTCCTTTTCCAAGAATATTGGGCAGTCTACTCGATTTTCATTTTGAGATTGTCTTCTGTTTATCGTTGCTTGGTTGCGTATCTGAACCCAAATAAGATGAACATGATCTAAAGGCTTCTCTAAGACATGGCATTCTACTTTCTATGTTTTCTTTTGTTAGTTCCATTCTGTAGGTATTTTTGGCTGATTTGGGAATTGGTAGTGGCTGTCTATAACATGATTGACTTTATTTTTGGCTTCTGCAATCGTGATTTTTATCCCTAGGTTATTTCTTTTGTATTGTGCTCGGCATTCTTTGGTTGGTTATTGGAAAGAATTTGCTGTTATTTTGGATAGAAAACTGTTTAGCACTCTCTGATGCCTGCAACTCCGGGGTTTTTTTGTTTTATTGCTTGACAGTTTCCAAGGATTTGCTCTCCCAATCACTCGTATTTATATCTTTTGGGATTCATTTTTGATAGTGTCTGCCTCTTTATTTTTTCCTTCGAATTGTTTTATTCTTATCTTTAGTAAGGGAAGATGGTGATGCGTCTTGCAGTTAATTTCATGCTAAATGTGGGGAGTTTTAATTTGTTTGAGGGGTATTTAGGAAGTATGATAATGATGTATGGATGGCAGAACAGTGAGGTCTGGTGCAAAAGATGTGAAGAAAGCAGCAAAAGGGATGCCTAGCTTTGATTCACATTTACCAGTTACCAACACACTGTAAATTCCCTCTTGACTCTTTTTCAATCTTCTACTAACTTATGTTTCACTTCCACGCGTGTCCCTTAAAATTATCAATTTTTCTGTTATATTTTGTCTTCATGTATTCAATTTCCATTATCTTCTTGGCATCCCACATCCTATATTCAAATGTTGTTACCTCTAAGTTTCGCTGGAGTTTTTAGAATAAATCTTTTGTTCTTCTAAAATATTATTTTATTAGTCTCGTGTTGAATTGAACACCATATCTTAACATGGTAGATTTGAACATTAGATTGGGTAGGTTATTCTTTTTGATGTTTAGCAAGGGAGTGTAAATAATTAGTGCTTTGGTAGTTGGAAACGTTTGGCTTTTGGCAATTGCCATGACAAAGAGTCTTTTTTTTGGATAAGAACTATATATTCCAATAGAGTTCTGCCTTTCACTGCAGTTATTTCAGGACAATGGATCTCTTAATCCAGATTTGAGAGTTGTCTAAAATTCCCTCCCCAAAACCTAACTCCTCTCTCTCCAAATGTGAATTGGTTGTTTGATGATATTGCATGGTAACAATTCTGAAGTGCATTAAGTAACTTTTCCTGTGCAATACAAACCCAATTACTGCACTGTTATTTGCTGATGCTTATAAAATAAAATAAAGCTCTAATTAGATGTTCATGCAATTGTCTTGCTTGTCATTGCACTTCTGATTACTTACACCTTGGTGAATTCTGATTCAGTTGCACATTCATTCCCTGTTTCAGATTTTGGGACATTAGACCAATCTATTGGATTTTGCCTAGGGGATGCTGTTAACCTGAGTGGAAGTATGCATTCAGTAATGTAATCCTTAAAAATCAGAATTGGAGCAATCATTTTTGAAATATTGTGTTATTTTAGGAAAAAAATTATGTAGATCTGATATACCCCATGAATATATGTAATGTAATGTAATGGTGCACATTCTTTTAGGAAAAAAAATATATTAATGTGATATGCCCCCTGAATATTAGTATGTAATAGCATCAGTGTGACTTCCTGGTAGCAGCACCAATATCTTGCACTAGTGTCAAAGCCATTGATCATCAGCTTGTTTTTTAGTGTTTCCTTTTACTGGTCTATGTGCAGTACAATTGTGCTTCTTCTCCTTAGTGCACCATAAACATGTTTAACCCACAGCTTACTGTAATTATGGAAGTTTTTGCCCCAGGAAATTTCTGACAGTGGAATGATCAGTTATTAAGTTTTGGTTTTGTTAAGAAAATAAATATTGAATTTTTAGTATTATAAGTAAAATATTTAAAACTTGAAGACAATTTCATTTCACAGCTTTTAGGATTGAGGGTGTGGATGGCAAACCTTTATCTTGGTTTAACACATGTTTAATCATTAATATTCAACAAATATTCTGATAAATTTTTCAAAAAAGAAATATGATAATGAGTGGAAAGACATTTTCCTATTTATCTCTATGAAGGATTTGACATTAGCTGTGGCAATGCAGACGCTGTGTTTAATTCAAGAAAAGAAAGTGGCCAACCAGTTCCTTCTGATCACAACCATTTTGGCACTTTGGATAAGGTGGATTTTGTTTGTCTTATAATGTATTGAGCTAGTATTTTATTTGTACTGCTTGGTAATATAATTTTATTCTCCTTGTGGCTTGAAACAGACTCCAACTTCATTTACTATAAATCCATCTGCCACCCAAGTTGAATCCAAGAGATTGCAATTAGCAAAAGGTCCACAAAGAAATCTGGTCTCCCTATCTAGTGGTTTTACAGAAAACTGCAGAGAATCCAATATGGCTGATGGTAGTCCGAAGACTGATATCTCAACAGATGCGGACACAGATGAAAAAAGTCCAAGGGTATGTTTTATTTCATATCTTCTCTTCATATCTCTACACTAATTTAATAATTTTTTGGGACTTTTCTCGATGGTAATGTTGCTATTAGTTAAAGCTCTTTTTCAGATTTAGGCAAAATCTGTTGCACTATCAAAATGTATCTATTATTCTAAAATCTGGAATATGCATTGTAAGAAGATGTGATTTAATAGAAAATGACCATGTCAAAAGGGGGAGGGAAGACCTAAAAATTTATGGGAGAAGCTTTAGGAAGGAACCTTTCTTTTATTGAACTTACTTGGAATATGGTCCTAAATAGATCACATTTGTGTAATATGATCCATGTTGCACTGTTGTCATTGTTGTTCTAATTGCTGGAAAAAGACTTAAGTTACTCAATGTTGCTGCCGGTTTGACGTTTTATTGCTTCTGTGCAGTTTGATACAGGAAAATCTAATGCTGTTGCAGCTTCTGATTCTAGTGACAGATCAAAAAGTAATTTGGATCAAAAGGTCAGATAGTTTGTGTTAGTTGCAAGCACAATAGCTAAGTAATAAATTGGTCATTTTTTTTATCTTTCGTTGATAATATTCTACAGACTCTTCGTAGACTTGCTCAAAATCGTGAGGCTGCGAGAAAAAGCCGATTTAGAAAGAAAGTATGTCTTTTCCCTTTAAATTAAATGCATTTATTCAACTTTTTTTTTTGTTTCGTTTTATCTTCTTTCATTTGTCAATTTTCATTGTTGTGGTGACTGACTCTGATGCTTCTTATGTCTTCTACTTGATTTTTGGGGGTTCAGGTCCTGTTGAAGATAGCATGGGCTTAGATAGACTCCTAAATATTTGATCTTAGAAGAGAGTACTACATATCATCCATTGCCTTAAAATTTTGTATAGTTGCTGAAAAAATGTGCCTATGGTAGAATCTAAGTGTTTTATCCTTACTCCTTGCCTTAGAAGCTCTAGTTGTTATATATGAATTTCATATTGGTATATGCGTGTACTTGTGTTTGCTTTCATCTTGATAACAATTGCATATAATTGTACGATTTTGACAATGGTGTGGCTATTTTCACAAACCCTTGCTAGAGCCCTTTTTTGTGGCAGTCAAGTACAAAATGACAAAGAGGTGACTATTAACCATTGCATACTTTATACTTTTGAGTTCTCATGATTGCTTCAGTTTTTGTCACTATTGACCATTGGATAGTTTATGGTCTCAAATTCTCATGCGTTGAAACTCCCTTGATTTTTGAGATTCATTGCATGAGGTCCCCTCTTTTATGTTCATCAAAATGTTTAGTTTTATGGTTTTGCTGCATAAGATGCTTTTGCATGTGTATTTCTTGTTTGAGATTATCTGACATAAGTTGTTTACTTGTTTTGCATTAATATCAAATTTAATCTCCTATATTGAGGCACATCATCCTTTTTTTCTTCCACAGGTATATGTGCAACAGCTGGAAAGTAGTCGTTTGAAGTTAACACAATTAGAGCAGGAGCTCCAGCGGGCACGGCAGCAGGTTAGACTTGGTCCTTCATCACTACATGCATTGTGTTTGCAGTTGTTTATTTAAGCATTCTTTTATTCATGTATCACTTATAATGCTGCCTTTCCCTGTAGGGTATCTTCATATCAAGCTCAGGAGATCAAAGTCATGCAATGGGTGGAAATGGTAATTATTCTTTTTTATTTTTCTGAAGCTAGTTCTTGGTAAACTTTTCTTCTTCTAGTGATCCGAGAACGAGTCTTATATTCTTATTTGTTGGAGTAGTTCATTGAAGCAACATAATACTAGCTATCTTGCATGAACAGAGTTTATTTGTGCACAGGAGCAGAGTCCAAGTCCAGTGCATGGCCACTCCATGCAAAAATCTTAAGGATAGGAGTCATAGGACTGTGTTCGTTTGTAGGACCTTGCAGCTGCTTCTGATATGCAGACAGTCAAAATAATATAGAACTGGAAAATTATTGTAATGTACTTGTTAAGAGGAGAATAGTACTTATACAAAAAAAAAAAGGAAAGAACCTTGGAAAATAGCTTTTGCTTTGCTTAAATCTGTCTGCCGTTATTGAATTAATAACATGTTATGCGTCAAACAGTTAGATCATTGGAATCAGAGATATATTGCATTAGTGTTGTTTGCCAACGTGTCTAATGAATGATTAAAGATCTCAGATTAAAGACTTCTCCTAGCATATAGGGTTGGCTACGTGGATAAAATTTATCCATTTTGCTACAAGTAGGCCCAGATCCCGAGTAAGATTGCTAAGAGCAGAGTCTTTTTATGATTGTTTCCTACAATGTCTCTTTTGCTCGAGTGTCCGGTTTTGACATGAACATGCTCTGTCATCTCACATTAATAGGAGCATTCATATGCCTGTCTTACATTTCATAATCCTTTTATGTGTTTCCCTCATGTTGTATCAATTGGTGCTTCCCCCACTTCTCTTGAATACTTTGGTTCACAGTTAAAATAAGTTCTTTGTAGACTACATAAACCTAAATTTATTCATTAGAAATGGATTCATTTAATGCATGGCACAGAAAACAGTGCTAGTTAAAAAGGGCAGGCCAGGCCAGTGCACAAGGCTTTGTCTAGGAATATATAGATCTATCCAGCCTTACTCTGCTTCGCAGGGAGGCTGCATTAGTGCAATCTTTCTTGTTACCCCTTTGTTACATCACAAACAACTGGCACCAACTTTGTGTATTATGAATATGTTCTTATCAAATGCATGGAGTGTGATTGTAGAGGGTACTGTCCTGAATTTTTTTTGTTTGCATGCTAATAAGTATTGTATTATCAGTTTCTCTTTTCTTTTTGTTTATTCCTTTTCTTTTCAGGTGCCATGGCATTTGATGTAGAATATGCACGGTGGTTGGAAGAGCAAAATCGACAAATTAATGAGCTGAGAACAGCAGTAAATTCCCATGCAAGTGAATCGGAACTTCGTATTATTGTTGATGGCGTAATGGCTCACTATGATGAAATTTTCAGATTGAAGAGCAATGCAGCTAAGGCTGATGTTTTCCATTTGTTATCAGGCATGTGGAAAACACCTGCTGAGAGGTGTTTCTTGTGGCTTGGTGGTTTCCGTTCATCTGAGCTTCTAAAGGTAGTTCATCTGAATTTGCACACACAAATAATTAGAATGCTAAACTTTTTAATAATTGGTGGTAATGAACTCTTAGTTCTTTTTTTCCCTTTAGATAACAGGTTTTTCATTGGTTCTCATACTGCTATGTCGGTTTGTACATCATGCCTGAGGTTCTGTCTGGAATAGCTGACAACTAAGCAATTGGGCCTCTTTTAGGGGATGGCCATTGAAAGTTCAAAAGAATGACATCCTAGGTTTAGGTATACAGAATAATTATTACGCATAAAACTTGTGCTTATCTTGATATCAAGATTATGATAATGTAGGATTTTTGAAAAATAGGAAGAAAGTTTGCAGAAACTTTGTGCAATATCATGCTGATGGAAGAAAAAGAATGATGGATTATAGTTCTTTACTGTGGCATTGTTAGAGCATATTGTTACTTTGTTTTGGATTACCCTTGCTCTTGGTTCCAAGGAGTTGGTTCTTTATTGCGGCATATTATAAAGGCGGTTTGTCTGCCTTTATAATTTTGATTTATATCTTTCTTGGCAAATCATATCACTTGTACTTATCAGAAATTATACAAATAAATAACAAGGATATATGAGTATCGGGAATAGGGAGAGGACGTGATGAAGTTATTCTTTCTTTTTTTGTCTTTTAACCATTTTCTAAATGTTAAATCCATTTCTGAGATATTCATTCATGCATATCAACACCCTCAGTTTTATAAAATAGAGCTTTAGCTACAGTAAAGGTTTTGGCCTTTTCTTTTATTAGTTAACCTTAACCCTAGCAAAAGTAGTAATCTTTTGGCTGTCTACTGATATTTCTCCAAATATGCAATTGGTTGGGAATTTTTAGGCGAGGTGGGCTGTGAGTGAGACTAAGGTTGTGAACACAAACCTGCGTTGGGTTTGTGCCAGCTATATTGACAGTGTTCCTCATCACAGCTTGTCCTTGTATGGCTAGAATGGAGGAACTTTTCTTGCCCCATCTCACTGCCAAACCATGTGCATGCTTTTATGTACATGTGATAGGAATTTGTGTGTCATGTTTGTACGCATTAACAAATTGCAATTCATCTTTCAATGTACTGGGAGTTATGACACTGGTAACATCTCATTATCTCAGTCATGGAACAATTAACACATAAAATTCGGATTGATACAATTTAAGAAATGGGGCCAATTTAAAGATGGAAAAGGTACAATTTTGGTAGGATTCCTTATTCTCAGGTACCTGAATGAAGCTAAAGTAAATTCAGCAAAATAAAGTTGGTAGTGGATTTATCTCTTGTCATCAGTTTTATACATGACTTGTTCTGATTGGAGAACCTTAAGGATATAAGGAGCCTTGCCTAAGTTTTGTCTGAAAATTCCTGCTTTCCAAATTCCTGGTGCATATGCATAAGTCTGATTCATGTATATTCTGTTTATAAGCAGTCCATAATCATGGTAAAATTCAATGGTTTTGCTGCTTTCAGCTTCTTGTAAACCAATTGGAGCCTTTGACAGAGCAACAGTTGGTGGGAATTGGCAACTTACAGCAATCCTCCCAGCAGGCTGAAGATGCATTATCTCAAGGGATGGAGGCATTGCAGCAGTCTCTGGCTGAGACATTGTCCACTGGATCTTTAGGCTCGACTGGATCATCTAGGAATGTGGCAAACTACATGGGTCAAATGGCCATGGCCATGGGGAAGCTAGGGACACTTGAGGGGTTTATCCGTCAGGTAATGCTTTTTATTTATTTTTTCTTTCCTTTTTATCTTTCATGTTTGCAGTAAACCATTAAGTATCATCTGAGTAACTAGGTTAACTAGTGTTGGCTAACATGAGGAGATGAAACTCAAAAGATTTTGTTGTGTTACTTACAATTTTCTGCAGAAAGGTAATATTTTCCAGTGGACTTCGAAATGTGTCTTAATTTTAAATTTATCTGTTGAGAAATTTGGCATATATTGCAATTCAAAAGCCAGTTTCCTTGGTGGCTCTAAGTTCTATTGTTTCTCATTCTCCTTGGTGTTTTAAATAAATGTTTCTAATAAGTTAATATCACCAGGCTGACAACCTACGGCATCAAACACTACAACAAATGCTTCGGATATTGACATCCCACCAGTCAGCTCGTGCACTGCTTGCAATACATGATTACTTCTCCAGATTACGGGCTCTTAGTTCCCTCTGGCTCGCCCGACCAAGAGAGTGAAAAGGTCCTGTTTCTTACTGGTTTGATTTGTTAACTGATATAGGTCCTGCTGGAAAATTATCAACTCTGGAATAACTTTTTGGATCCAGCACTAGATAACATTCGATCTTGTCATTAAACCATATAATAATTTTTAAATTTCTCATGCTTTAGTTTCAGTAATCCTTGTGATCATGTATGTCAAGGTGTTTAGTCTTGTCTTGCCTGTTGTCAAATGATTACAGAATTTGAGCATTTTCTCAAAAGTAAAATTTTAGTTATATTTGTCCTTTACATCTTTGAAAAAGCATTCTTACTGCAACTTGTATAAATCATGGTAATTATTTAGTTATTAACATCTATGAAATGTTCTTTTTTCATTTTTATTGGACAAATACATTTGTACAAGTAAAATATGGTCTATTTTCTTTGAAAATCTCCATTTCTTTTACCTTTCAACTTCTCGATCAAATGAGCCAGTGTCACTGTACTGATTACCCAAATTCTGTCTCTAATATCATCTACCAACCGGAATAAAGCATGTCTCCAAGACTTACTAATGATCAACGAGCCACAAACAGCCCAAAACCCCATGACAAATCCGGGGGCCATTCCAATGTAGAAGTATAACCACAGCATTTCAGCCACATCTTCATCTTTGCCTTCGGCGTCCTGATTCTCTTGTTGGCCATTGTTTGTTGTTGAGCAGTTGGTTGACAATGGATATCCACAAAGTTTTGAGTTGCCTTCATAAATAGAAGGGTCATTGAAGGTTCGGAACTGATTGGTTGATGGAATTGGTCCTGACAAGTTATTATATGAGAAGTTCAAATGGCTCAATGCTGTTATGTCTGACATACTTGAAGGAATTGTGCCAGAAAGATGATTGCCTGACAGGTCAAGAGTTTCTAAACTTCGCAGATTTCCTATCTTCTTTGGTATGTTTCCAGTCAATTGATTCCATGACAAATTTAAGGTGCCCAAGGTTGAAAGATTTGTTATTTCCTTCGGGATTTCTCCTTGTAGATTATTTCTCGAAAGATCTATGATGTTCACGAGATCAAGTGTCAAGGTAAATTCAAGTATTCGGCCTTTGACATTGAACTCCATTTCATTCCAGTAAGCAGGATGAGAACCAGGGTCTTGTGGAGAATAAGGCCTCAAATAACTCAACCCGCTTAGATTGCCTAAACATGGAGGGATTCGTCCTGATAAATTGTTATGTCGAAGCTCCAAGATATGAAGGTAAGAAAGATGACATAAGTTTTCAGGAATCTTTCCATTAAACATGTTTCCTCCCAAGCTCAGAATTGATAAAGATGATAGCCTTTCTCCAATCCATTTTGGAATTCCTCCATAGAATTTATTATCTGCAAGACCAAGTTCTGATAGTTCCATGCATTTCTGTAAGGACGAGAGGTTCCCAAAAAGATTGTTGCCACTCAATTTCAATATGTGAAGCCTAGGATGTGAACATATTGAGCTCGGAATGCTTCCAGATAGATTGTTCTTGGAGAAATCTATGACCCTCAAGCTTGTCAACGATTTCCACCAAGGGATCTTTCCGGAAAGGAGGTTGTTTGAAAGAGATATAATTTGCAACCTTATAAACTTACCTATAGAGGGGGGAATATTACCACTGAGAAAGTTCTTGGAGAGATCTAAGTATTCCATTTGCCACATCTTTTCACCAATGTTCTTCGGAATTGATCCTGTAAAAGAGTTGTTCCTTAAAGACAGAATCCTGACCTGAGAACAAAGTGGAAGTGGACCCTCAAAAAGGTTAGAACTAAGGTCTACAGCAAAGGCACCTGGTGCAAATTTCAGTGATTTGGGAAGTGTTCCTCTTAATTTGTTATTGTAGAGACGCAAATTTCGAAACTGTGGAGTTTGTTCCCAAAACCAATCAGGTATTGTATACGAAATTGCCACTTCTTCAAGACTCAGGGACCTCAAGTCCTTTTGAGTCTTGAGCCATGCAGGAAAGTTGGGACCCATTTGGCAATGGCTGATAAAGATGAGCTCCAAACTGAAGGGAGGAATCCAATCCCGTCTAATATCAAATGCTAGAGCCTTGTTCCAAGATGAAAAGTATAGGCTTTTAAGATTTTCCAGGTGGAGGAAATGAGTCTCCAATATGACACCGTACCAGTTACCTTCAAGATATAATTCCCTCAACTTGTTGAGTTGTCCTATACTTTCAGGGATAGTCCCATTCAACTTGTTGTCTGCAACGTATAATTCCTCCAAGCAGGATAAGTTTCCTATAGATGCTGGAATTGAACCAGAGATTGGATTATCATCAATTCGGAGAGATTTCAAATTCTTCATGTGTCCCAACGATTCAGGTATTAGCCCTCCCAAATTATTAGACCATAAATGTAACACTTCCAAGCTAATGTTGTCACATTTAGACAAACTGCTTACAAATTTCTCTAATTCTCCACTTATCTCACTAGATGATAGATCTAGAGTCTGTAAGTGGCAAAATTTTCCCCAATCAACATCATTCACAGAGTACCTCCCAATTCCACTGTTTCCTAAGTTCAAGACCACAAGACTGCTACTAATATTAAATAACCACTGAGGTACGGAAGAACCGAACCAGTTCTCTGAAAGATCTAGAACTTGAATGGAACTAAAGTTCACAAATGGAAGAGAATAAGGTACCTGATCGAGAGTACAGTCAGGCAAATGCAACTCCTCAAGATATGGAAGCATGTTAATAACTGACAGCCAACTTGTTGATGCCATTCTAAGATTCACATATCCTAAATTCAAGTGCTTCAACAAAGAAAGTCCAACTATCCAATTCAAATCAGAAACCCAAATACTTGGAGAATATTTTAGTGGGTAGGAATATAGATCAAGATATTGCAAGTTTGATAAGTTTCCAAGATGATGAGGAACCGAACCACCAAAGGATGCACTCGAAAGATTAAGGTAACTTAATTCAGTGAGTGAAGCAATGAAGTTTGGTATTGGAGTATTTTTGAAATTGTTCAAGCTTAAATCCAAGTAATTCAAATACTTTAAATCAAGCAATGAAGGATTTATTCTACCACCTAACCTTGCCACTTTAAAAGCTGCTACAAGGCTTGCATTTTGATGGTAAGGCTGATCATATGGATTTCTGAGGTCTAGCTTCGTGACATGACCTGTCAGCTTGTTGCAACCAACACCAGACCATCTACAACAATCTTTGCCAAACCAAGAATTAAGCCTGCCTGAATAGTCTTGAAGGCCTGCTTTGAACTGGAGAAGTGCCTTTCTCTCAATCTTATCGCAACTTGTTGAGGAATTGGGATCAAGTAAAGAAGATTGGAGGGATGTAAACCTGGAAATTAGCTGAATTAAAGTTAGCATAAGGAGGGGAGAGGGTAAAGAATAAACCATGGTGCCTTGATCGGTTAAACTCTCTTGGCAACCAACAATGATTCAAACTTCAATAGCAGAAAATTAAACCACAAGATTGGAAAGAGTATATGGAGTAAGGGTATTGACCCAATGGTCGCTCGGTTGACAAAAATATCAACAGAATAATGTGAAGATAGCCACAATATTTAGATAGTTCGGTTTATCCAATAATAATAAAATCCAAATCAGAAAAATAATTTAAGTAAAATAAAAAACATCAAAATTTACTTGAAAAATCTTTTAAATAAAATTCAGGAAATATTCAACATAAAAAATAGATATAAATTAACAAAAATACAATATCTTAATTTTTTTTCAACTCTTCTACTTTCTTTTTCTTTCTCCTTTTATTGGTTAGTCAAAGCATGGGCTTGGACGCCTATCACTCTTGACAACGGTGACCTACCAACCTCTTAATTTTTTTTTTCTATCATTGATAGGGGTAGGGAGAGTAGGATTTGAACAGGAAGCCAAAAACACTGCTTGACTTTTGAGCTATAGAAATTTTGACGACCCAATCAAATTTATATGATTCTTTATTATTCATTATTTTTTAAGCAAGAAAAATGCCATCATTCTTGAAATAAATTCTGCATCAGTAGTTACAATGGAGTAAACTTAAAAACTCCGAACAATCCACAGGCCCCCTTGAACCCGTAATCCATGTTTTGCTAAACAATGAGCTGCTGCATTCCGTGTTTCTCATGTGTGCTATGCTGCAGGCAGTGAATTTTGTAACCTTGGCTCTAGGCAGCCTCATCTATATTGGTGCCAATGGGAGAGAGGAGTAGAGTCATTGCTGTATTTTTTTCATTACTGCTAAAGCATCATCTTCCACTACAATTCTTGTGAAACCCATCTCAAGAACAAAGTTTAAAAGTCCGAATTGCTGCAATTGCCTCCACCGTGAATGGATTTATGATCCAATAAATATGATAATTTAATATATAATATGATAATAGGACGTCAAATTGATATAAAAAATATAAAAATAATATGATTTAAAATTTAAAAAAATTATATATAAATTTAATAAAATAAAAAATATTTTATAATATTTTATATTTTCTTATTTCATATGTTTTTTATTGAATTTTTTGATCAAACAAATTTAACTTTGATAATTATTTTTTAAAATATTATATTAAATTAAAGTTTTTATAAATATATTTTGAAAAATTTAAAATTCGAACTTTACGAATCTTAATTTTAAAAATTTTTTAGCTTTGTGATTTTATTAAAAGCAATGGTCAAAAGTTGAATCGGTTTGAAAAAAAAAAAAAGAGGCATATAAAATAGAATGAAGAAAATATGTAATTTTTTTTATAAAATACAATATAAATATATAAATTATCATGACCTATCAATATTCATGTCACTATTATTTTTATATTTTTTGTTGGGTTTGATAGAGTAAAGTGGAAAATGTTGGAATGCTCAAAAAAAAAAAAGGAGTTCGTTCAAAATGAATAAAAAAAATTTATGATTAAAGCAACACATGTATTGTAACTAACAACCATTAATTTTGAGATAAATACTTTAATTAATTAAAATTATGAATTACAATCTTTACTAAAATAATGAATAAAAGCTGTTAAGTAATTTAATAATAAAAAATATGAACCAAACTGAAAATAAGGGAATAATAATAATTTTATTAATAAAAATGTATATCTATTTTACTTATTATTCTATACATAAAATAGTTTTATTACTAAAAAATACATAAATTACATTCAAAACTTTTAAACTCAAAGTTAAAATAATTTTTTACAAATTCATATTTTTATTTTTTATTTATATAATAATTTAATAATATAAAAATAAAATTATCACAAGTGCATTGCACCAGATTAAAGCTAGTTTAAATTATAATGAAGCAACGAGAGCCTATTGCTAAACCTGGTCCCTATGAGCTATGGGAAAAGCAAGAGGTGTAGGGTACGTGGGGAGAGTGTTGGTTGTTTTGGAGGAAGGGGTTTATCAGCCTAAAACGAAGGAGACTAGAGTGGCTTATGAGGCTATGTTGGGTTTGATTCAGCCGCAGTTGGGTGTACTGCCGCTTAATATTTTTTGTGGTGCAGCAGATGAGATTTTGGCTGTACTTAAGAATGAGGGGATTGAGAATTCGGAGAAGAAGAAGGAGATTGGGAAGTTATTGAATCCGATTCCGAGCCAGGCTTTTGATCAGCTTGTTTCGATTGAGTAGTTGATTACTGATTATCAAGATGTTGGTGATGAAGGTGGGGGTTTGATGGGGAATGGGAATGAAGGTCTTAATGATGATGTTGGGGTGGCAGTTGAGTTTGAATAAAATGCACATGAGGAAGAGGAGAGATATCTTGATTTGTTGCATGAGGAAGAGGAGAGATATCTTGATTTGTTGCATGAGGATAAGGAGGAGGAGGATGATGATGGGGTGGAAAATGGTGGTCGGGCCATGCAGATGGGTGGTGAATTAATGATGATGACATGCATGAGGCTAATGAGGGAATGAGTCTGAATGTCCAGGACATGGATGCTTATTGGCTTCAGAGGAAGATCTCCCAGGCTTGTGATCAACAAATTGACCCACAACAGTGCCAGAAGCTTTCTGAAGATGTGCTTAAGGTTCTTGCCGAGGGTGATGACAGGGAGGTTGAGGCCAAGCTATTGGTGCATCTCCAGTCCGATAAGTTCAGCCTTGTCAAATATCTGTTGCAGAATCGGCTGAAGGTTGTGTGGTGCACCTGCTTGGCTAGGGCTGAAGACCATCGAGAGAGGAAGAAGATTGAGGAGGAAATGATGAGCTTGGGTGCCAGAAAATTTTTGAGCAGTTGCATGCCACCAGGACAACTGCAAAAGAAAGGCAGAAGAACTTGGAGAAGAGTATAAGAGAAGAGGCTGGTCGACTAAAGGATGAGAGTGGCGGAGATGGGGATAGGGGTTGGTGAGGCCTTGCTGAGAGAGACACTGATTGTGTTTGGCTGAAGGGTCAGCGCCAGTTGCTTGATCTGGACAGTCTTGTTTTTGAAGAGGGTGGTCTTTTGATGGCAAATAAAAAATGTGATCTTCCCGTGGGTTTGTACAAGCATCATAGCAAGGGGTACGAGGAAGTTCGTGTGCCAGCACTGAAGTCAAAACCATTGGAATCGAACAAGAGGCTTGTAAAGATATCTGAGATGCCAGACTGGGCACAACTAGCTTTCAGAGGGATGCAACTGTTGAACAGAGTACAGAGCAAAGTGTATGAAACTGCCCTTTTTTCATCCGATAACATTCTACTGTGTCCTACTGGGGCAGGGAAAACTACTGTTGCTGTGCTCACCATACTGCAGCAACTTGCCTTGAATATGGATTCTGATGGTTCAATTAACCACAGCTACTATAAGATTATCTATGTGGCACCTATGAAAGCTCTAGTTGCTGAAGTTGTTGGTAATTTTTCTCATAGTTTAGAGGAATATGGTGTGACTGTGAGGGAGCTCAGTGGAGACCAGACACTAACTCGCCAACAAATTAAGGAGACTCAGATTATTGTGACAACTGCGGAGAAATGGGATATTATTACCAGAAAGTCTGGGAATCGTACGTATACGCAGCTGGTGAAACTTATCATTGATGAAATTCATCTTCTTCATGATAATATAGGACCTGTGCTTGAAAGTATTGTTGCCAGGACTGTTAGGCAAATTGAAACCATGAAAGAACAGATCCGATTGGTTGGGCCGTCGGGTACACTTCCTAAATTTGAAGATGTGGCATTATTTTTCGGGTTAATCTTGAAAAAGGACTGTTCCATTTTGACAATATCTACAGACCTGTCCCCCTCTGTCAACTGTATATTGGAATCACAATGAAGAAGCCACTGCCAGTTGATGGATGATATTTGTTATGAAAAGGTAATGGCTGCTGCACGGAAGCATCAAGTCCTTATTTTTGTTCATTCAAGGAAGGAAACTACTAGAACAGCTCGTGCGGTATGGGACACTGCACTTGCTCATGATAGTCTTAATAGATTGTTGAAAGAGGATGCTGCAAGTCGTGAGATTCTCCAGAGTCACACAGTATGGTTAAAAGCAATGATCTCAAGGATCTACTTCCTTATGGTTTTGCAATCTATCATGCTGGGTTGGCAAGGACTGATTGCCAAATTGTTGAAGAACTCTTTGCTGACGGACAGGTACAAGTGTTGGTATCAACTGCAACTCTTGCTTGGGGTGTGAACTTGCCTGCTTACACAGTCATTATCAAAGGGAGCCAGATTTAAAGCGCGGAAAAAGGAGCATGGACTGAGCTAAGTCATCCGGATGTGATGCAGATACTGGGACGTGCTAGGAGGCCTCAATATGATTCATATGGGAAGGGATCATCATCACCGGCCACATTGAACTTCAGTACTACCTTTCTTTGATGAATCAGCAGCTTCCTATTGAGAGCCAGTCTGTGTCCAAACTGGCTGATCAATTGAATGCAAAAATCGTTCTTTGAACTGTTCAGAATGCAAAAGAAGCCTGCAATTGGATTGGCTACACATACTTGTATATTCGCATTTTACGGAATCCCACACTTTATGGCTTACCAGCTGAAGTTCTTTCAAGAGATTTAACTTTGGAGGAGAGGAGGGCTGATTTGGTAAGCATACATCTCTTTAGTATACATTATTATTTTTAAAACAATTTCTCAAATTCTAATTTTCTAGCACTCTTTTTCCTTATCTTGCATGCACATTAGGTTTGGCTCTGAACAGCTCTGTTACCTCTTCTGTTTTTCTTTTCCTTTTTTTTTTTTTTTTAATAGTTTGAGTTGGTGCATTTGGTTTTAATATTCGTTATTCATGACAGTGAGAATATGCGTTGCATTTAAACTGGCGAAACTTGTGGCTGATGAATGTTCTATGATGATATAAAAATGAAACAGAACACTACTGTGCTTCATATGTCATGCTATAATTTGAATCTTTACAGTTCCTTGTTTTAATTTTACTGTAATTCCTGTGATTGTATTCGTTATTGATTTCTTTTCCTTTTTCTTTTGGCAGAATATTCTGCTGCAACCATCTTGGACAAGAATAATTTGGTCAAGTAGGACAGAAAAAGTGGATACTTCCAAGTGACAGATTTGGGCGGCATTGCTAGCTACCACTATATAATTCATGGGACAATATCCACATATAACGAGCATTTGAAGCCAACCATAGGGGATATAGAGCTTTGCCAACTTTTTTTGCTCAGTGAAGAATTCAAGTATGTGACAGTTAGATAAGATGAGAAGATGGAGCTGGCAAAGCTTTTGGGCCATGTTCCCATTCCAATCAAGGAAAGCCTGGAGACGCCTAGTGCAAAAATCAATGTTTTGCTGCAAGCATATATTTCACAGTTAAAAGCTTGAAGGACTGTCATTGACATCTGACATGATGCACATAGCTCAGAATGTTGGATGTCATCTACGAGCACTTTTTGAGATTGTTTTGAAAACAGGTTGCGCACAGTTGTCTAAGAAGGCTTTGAACTTGTGTAAAATGGTTACTAAGAGAATGTGGAATATTCAAATACCCCTTTGCCATTTCAATGGCATCTCAAATGAAATTCTTATGAAGTTGGGGAAGAAAGATTTGGCCTGGGATAGGTACTATGACCTGTCATCACAGTAGATTGGAGAGCTTGTTCGTTTCCCTAAAATGGGAAGAACCTTTCACTGGCTCATTCACCAGTTCCCAAAGCTGAACCTTGCTTCCCATGTTCAACCAATTACACGAACTGTCTTGAGGGTTGAACTTACAATGACACCAGATTTTCAGTGGGAGGATACGGTTCATGGGTATGTGGAGCCATTTTGGGTGATTGTTTAGGATAATGATGGTGAGTATATTCTTCACCATGAGTTCTTTTTGCTGAAGAAGCAGTATGAACCATTGCCACCTCACTTTGAACCCTAAAACCATCATTATGAACTTCACGGTGAACCCCAAAACCACACTTTGAACTTCACGGTGCCGATTTATTAACCATTGCCACCTCAGCATTTCATTTGTGTTGTCTCAGATAAATGGCTTGGGTCACAGACTGTTTTACCTATCTCTTTGAGGCAGCTTATTCTACCAGAGAAGTACCCTCCACCAACTGAGCTGTTGGATTTACAGCCCTTGCCTGTGACTGCATTGAAGAATCCATCTTATGAAGCACTATATCAAGATTTTAAGCATTTTAATCCTGTTCAAACTCAAGTCTTTGCTGTTTTGTATAATACGGATAACAATGTTCTAGTCGCCGCACCAACAGGGAGGGGGAAGACCATATGTGCTGAGTTTGCTATATTAAGGAATCATCAAAAAGGACTTGATAGTACCATGCGAATAGTGCATATTGCACCCCTTGAGGCTATTGCCAAGGAGCGATACTGTGATGTGGAGAGGAATTTTGGCAGAGGTCTGGATGCCGGTGGTTGAGTTGACTGGGGAATTGACAATGGACCTGAAGTTACTTGAGAAAGTTCAAATAGTCATCAGTACTTTGGAGAAATGGGATGCACTTTCTTGTCTCTGGAAATGGCAAAAGTATGTGCATCAGGTTAGTCTTTTCATTGTTGATGACCTTCACTTGATTGGTGGCCAAGGTGGTCCTGTGTTAGAGGTGATTGTCTCTAAGATGAGATAAATTGCAAGTCAGGTCGATCAGGAGAAGGAGAAGAAGATTCGGATTGTTGCTCTCTCAACTTCTCTTGCAAATGCTGAGGACCTTGGAGAATGGATAGGAGCTACTTCTTACAGCCTTTTCACTTTCCCCCCTGGAGTTCGTCCTGTACCACTAGAAATACACTTTCAAGGGGTGGATATAGTCAATTTTGAATCAAGGATGCAAGCAATGACTAAAACCACTTACACTACCATTGTGCAACATGCCAAAAGTGGGAAGCCTGCTATCGTGTTTGTTCCTACAAGGAAGCATGTTAGACTCACTGCTGTGGACCTAATGAGTTACTCCAAAGTGGATAGTGAAGTTGAGCCAGCTTTTTGTTTGCAATCTGCTGAAGAAATTAAACATTTTGTTGACAAAATTAGTGAAGAAACATCGAAAACCACTCTATAACATGGAGTTGGCTACTTGCATGAGGGTTTGAGCAGTTTGGATCAAGAAGTTGTTTCGCAGCTGTTTGAAGCTGGGTGGATTCAGGTTTGTTTTATGAGCAGCTCATTATGTTGGGGAGTGCCGTTGTCAGCATACTTGGTGGTTGTAATGGGCACTCAATATTATGATGGGAGAGAAAATTCTCACACTGATTACCCAGTTACAGATTAGTTGCAGATGATGGGCCATGCCTGTCGTCCTCTTGATAATTCTGGCAGATCTGTCATCCTCTGTCATGCCCCTCGTAAAGAGTATTACATGAAGTTCTTGTTTGAAGCATTCCCTATGGAAAGACATTTGCACCATTTTCTACATAATAACTTTGATGCTGAAATTGTCGCAAAAGTTATTGAGAACAAGCAAGATGCTGTGGATTATCTTACGAGGACCTTCATGCATGGGAGGCTCTCTCAAAATCCACATTACTACAATCTCCAGGGAGTAAGTCACGGGCATCTCTCTGATCACCTTTCGGAGCTTGTTGAGAACACATTAAATGATGTGGAACCAAGTAAATGTATTACTATAGAGGATGACATGGATCTTTCTCCTTCGAATCTTGGCACCATAGCTGCTTACTATTACATCATTTACACTACCATTGAGTGCTTCAGTCTTCTTTGACTTCCAAAACAAAGATGAAGGGTCTTTTGGAGATTCTGGCCTCAGCTTCTGAGTATGCTCTAGTTCCCATATGACCTGGGGAAGAAGAGGTTCTTCGAAGATTAATTAATCATCAGAGGTTTTCCTTTGAAAATCTTAGGCGCACAGACCCACATGTCAAAGCAAATTCACTGCTTTAAGCCCACTTCTAAGGCAGCATATGGGTGGGAACCTAGCATTAGACCAGCGAGTGGTGCTCCTGTCTGCTACGAGGCTACTTAAAGCTATGATGTTATTTCGAGCAATGGTTGGTTGAGCCTTGCGCTTCTTGCAATCGTTAATGTCTTTTGACTGGTTTGAAAACTCTTTTTGCATCTCATGCTTTTCCTTGTATAAATTTGGAATACCACCAATGCTTCGCCTTAACCTTAAATTTTGCATTGTTCCTATGGAATAATCTAGGCTAACATCTTTAAAGAATAGCTCTTATGCATTCTGTCTAAATGTGCTTGATAAAATATAGTTTGATACCATGCATAAGGAGTTCCATCTATTTATTGGAACCACCAGTATCTTACTTTGGTTTTTATCTCTTGTAAAGATTTAGGGTGAGGGAAAATTTTCACCTTTTAGGTCAAATTGCACATTAGGCTTCTTTCGCACCGTAAATTCAAAAGACGTACATTAAATTTATAAATTATTCACCTAAAAAAATTACTGATAACGAGGCTCGAACTTAAATCTTATTAGCAAGAAGGATTCAAATCTTACCAACAAATCCAAACATATTCTTTTACCAGTCCTTGATATGAGCTTCACATTCAATTATGTCCAACAAAGTTTTAAGTTTGACCTAGATAATAGTTCTGTTCCAGCGATCCGGAAAAAATTGGATAAATTCTAGGAATCCCTTGCGCCTAAAAATACGCTTTTAACTGATTTGCTGCGCTTTCGGGGCCTTATAGTAAACATCATAGCATGGACCAAACCAACAGATGAGTCCAAAATTGAGCTGATTTTGATGGATATATTGATCTTGATCTGGTGATCACTCTTTTCATCACTGTTTGTTACAGGGTCTGCTGATCTAACCTCAAACTAATGGGCAAATTTCTCATTTTCTCCAACAAACATTGTCTAAATGTTTAAAACAACAAATTTCTTACGACATAATTTGAGCTTGAGCTCTCTTAATCCTGAAACTGAAACAAGAATAGCATAACAAACCATACACTTATATTAATAACTCAACCACTGATTAAGAATCCCCCAACAACAAAGTTTGGTTAATTATTATACAAATTTTCTAATTCCTTGCACAATTTTGTCTAATAACAACTAAGAAAACTAGGTAGATCCATATGATTTTTTTTCATCAATCTTCATAGATCCGGCACTCTTCAGTCTCAGGATTCTCCTGACAGAAAGATTCCAACGGATCTTTCTTTTCTATTTCGAGTTTAATCCGGAGATCCGCTTTGGCTTGACTTATCTCTTCAACCTCGTCCCAAGCCACCTTGCATTCATCAGAAGTCTCATCCCCTTTACAAACTTCCTTGGCTTCTGTCACTTTTTTCTCAATCATCTCAGTCAGCTGCTTCTCCCTCATCTGAGTCCCTTTATACTTGGCTGCTCCTCCCATAGCTTTTAACGTCATTCTTGACACCCTTTTTTCGCCCTTGTTTTTACAATGAAAAGTAGCTGAAATCCTTGGGTTTGAACAAAAAGATGATGTTGGGATCTTTTCCACGGTTCCTGTCAATGAGTGAAACGTTAAACTTGCCATGGCTGATGCCTGGTAACGACTCTTTTTCTTCTTTTCTAGTTGGATAATACCGGAGTGTTGGAGTTGTTTTGATCAAGAAATAGGGGTCTTTATCATGTGAAAGAGGATTGAGTAAAGAGAAGAAGACAAGGGGTTATCAACAATATCAAGGACAACAAACTAATTTGGAAGAATTGGGATAAGCTCAAGGCAGGTATCGAACGGGATTTGTCTGCTACGACTTTGCTTTTATCAACTGATGCTGCCACATCCACGTATCACACATGTCCCCCACACGTTTCAAAGGGAAACCAATGTGTGTTGTTGTCAATGTTAGTGGATAGGACCATCAGCCCAAGTGACAATTATTTCTCCTTTTACTTGTTTGGTTTTGTGACTTTGAGAATAGAGAATTGAAGAATATAATTTCAATGTAAATATATATATATATATACAAACATAGCTTAAATTAAGTCCAAATTAGTATGAAATTTTATGTCATATAATGAACTAATAAAAATGTAGTGACTATTGTTTGATTGTTGGATTTTGTGCTATGTGTGCATCAACAAAAGAAATTTTAATTGGTTTATATATTTTTATGAATCAAGTGTGCATTTTATCTACTAGGGTAGAATAGAAATAGTAAAAAAAAATTTGGATTTTTTTTTTTTGTTTTTCCTCTTATACAATCCATTTTAAAATAAAATAAAAATGAAAAGAAAAGAAAAGCAGCCATTTCATTATACTTAATACTCGATGACATCTTTTAATGGGAACATTGTCTGAGCTCAAATAAGAAATAGCTATGGCACATATTTTTGTTTCAACACTCGTATTAAATATAAATTTATAATAATTTTACTCTATTGTAAAGAAACATATGATTTACAAATAATATAAAATTTATATATTGATAAGATATCAAATATAAATTTTTTAATAATATAAAAAATTATCGATGTTTAAATTCAAAATTTCTTACACTATAACAAACTAATTAGCCAATTACATATAAAAAATTTACTAATGTTTGAATTCAAAATCTCTTAGATTGAAACCAACTAATTAACCAATTACCCAACCCTTTCGATAGTTTTCTTGTTATTTGTTGTTGGTTTTTTATTCATTTTTAAATTTTTTCTTTTTCTTTTTATTATTTTTTGACCAAAACAAAGAAAAAAAAATAAAAAGCATGAACGGGAGGAAAAGATCACTAATTAGCTTTCTCAAAAACTTTACGTTGGGAAACTGAGTTACTTGGGGAGAATCCATTGTGCAACTTCACTTCAAACAGCCTACCTAGATGATTCCATGGCACTAATCGTGCTTCTTCAAGTGTTTCCATTTTCCTGTTTGGATCAGGCTTCACTTCAAACAGTCTACCTAGATGATTCCATGGCACTAATCGTGCTTCTTCAAGTGTTTGCATTTTCATGTTTGGATCAGGCCTTACCTCCAGGGCCCGATCCATGATATCTTGTTGTCCGTCGTTTCGAGTTTCTCGCTTTTGGTTTCATTTTTCTTTTCTAATGACTCAACAAATTGTTGAAAGAAGAAAGCTTGTACTGTGCTTGTAATTTGATTAAGTCTTTCATGATTTACCAGCTGTGAAATCTTCCTCATGGACAAACTGGCTGAATGATTAATCTAGTGAAATCCTTTTCCCCAGTTTGCCTATGCTTTGCACAACACCCATGAATTTACTGAATTCATAAGAAAAAAGCATGCGCTCTTGTAAAGAGATCAATTTCTTAAATTCACCAGAATTCGACCAATCATTTCTGTGGGTTTGTGAAAAGCAACAGACATAGAAGTGAACAGGAATACAAACTATAGAATTTTACCCAACATAAAAGGTTAGGATTAGGCATATTATTATCAAGGAAGTCCACTCAAAAGCAAAAACCCTATGAGCTGTCTGAGAAAATTGGATATTCAAAAATAATTGCTTTTATAGAAATTCTTCAGGAAATCAGACATGCCTTCATCCTTGGTGTCCAAATCCTGAACAAGCCCTTGACGACCCAATACATACTGGCCGATAATGTGGTGCCGCTGCTTTGCATGCTCCACGATGTTGTTCAGCTCTTCCATGCCCTTAAAGAGCAGCAAATCAATTACCTGCAGATTTCACTACTACTATCAAGACACTGGAAAGGGTATCTTAAAATCATCAGTCACCCAAATATTAGCACATATAACCTCACAAGTCATTCAAAGCAAAGAATCTCTGCCACAATTCCAAACCTATACAAATTCATTCTGACTACAAACAGAAAATACAAATAAATTAAGACCATACACCAATATTTCTGACAAACAACCCCACATAACACCATGATTAAACTCTATTTTTGTCCAATCATCATAAAGAACAAAAACAGCTCTTTCCAAAGCACCAGAATGGAATATCAACTTATGAATGAGGCAGCAAAAGATAAAATGCATCAATTATAAAGAGAAAATAAATATAAATTAAGACTATACACCAATTTATCAAACAAACAAACCCACAGAACACTATAATTCAATTCCATTGTCATGCAATCATCATAAAGAACAAAGCAGCTCTGTCAAAATCGCTACAATGTGATATCAAGTTATCAACAAGGCAGCAAAAAGAGAAAAACAAATCAATTACTTTAAAGTACTTCTGGGAAATAATTAAATATCCAACAATTAATGAGGCTCCTCAAATGGACATAATCTAGTTTGTTAAGTCAATACGTCGTATAAGTTACACGCATTTCCAAAATTATGCTGAAAATATCAAATCTACATACTAGGTAGCAAATGAGATATTAAAGAATTCATATTCAGTGTAAAGCAACATATAGAAGAGCTACCCACAGAATTAATGCAGAGAAATACTTTCCATAATGGAACATGAAGACAAAGCCTGCAATATTGTTTATCTACAACAACAGAGTCAATTAATTAATTTCAATCAACAGGGAACACCAAAAAAAGCTTTAAAAATCATTCCCATAACCTCTGCAATACACAAATTCATCTCCACTACCCAAATGACCATTTGGATCAGCAGATAAATCATAATATAACATATATGGCTCCAGAACCATTTGCCAACAGTAAAACATTTATAAAGACTTAAATATGAGGAATACAACAAGCAGGGAACTTTCTCTATAGAACACATAGAATGCAGTCCTAACTCCCAAGACTCATCAAGATCGGAAATCCTCTTTGCATCAAGATACGAAGATTTAGGCATCAAAGCAATTTACAAGAAGTGTTGATACTCAATAGCAGTGATAGAGCTCTTGCTAGCGTAATGATAAGATATATTACATCTCAGAAGTTTGGAGGACTAAGCTAAGAGGAGCTGCTTCCTGAAGAAACTGGAGAAGAAAATACTGAAACAAGCTAACAATATATAATTACTTCACAACAACCAAATGATCATTTTGATCTGCATAAAAAATCACAAAACTTCACAACAACGGTCGCAAGATCATCTAGCTAAATTAAAAATGTCATTGAAGACTTGATGGAAAAAACAAGACGCTAGGACCTTAGTGTTCTCTATACTACTCATAGAAGGCACCCTAAACTGAAAACAACCAATGGGAAGGCTAAATTCAAAAGAATTTATGATGTTTCATTCCCAATATAATAACAGCATAAGATGAACCACATCTCAGAGGAAATCGTTCATGAAGCAGCGAAATGAAAATACTGAAACAAAAGTTTGGGAAGCTACTAAAGTCCCAGATTAATCCAAACAATCTCTTTCAACAAAACCCCTCAGCTATCTCCAAAGTAAGCTTCACAAATCTACTATCAACAAAACAAACACTTATAATCCTCACATTCTCTTCTTGATGAGAGGAGAGGACAATGATGCAACACATAAAATAAATTTGATTCTACAGCATAATTTAGCATTTCAATTCAATCAAGAGATCAAAATCAAACCATACTTTCCCAATTCAATAAAAAATAGCAATATCCCAAGTTTTCCCCTCATAATCCCACATCAACCAAGCCAGGCTTAAGCTCAGATTTTCATAGAATTATAACCATTCATTGAGTTATTTGATTCTTCACAAAGTTGCCATAAATCAAAAGAATAGCAATCTTATAACCAATTAAAAAACAAAAAAAAAAAGCCAAAAAAAAAAGCCACTTTTAAAAACAATAATTCTATATAAAAAGTAAAACAATATATTTTGTTACAAAAATTATTTATTTCCAGAAACAGGATGCAAGCAATAAAATACATTTATCTTCCAAAACCGACGAAAAATATAAAATTCCCAAATAAAGTATTAATAGAAGGAATCTAAAATGAGAGAGAGGGAGGCCGACCTTAGGGTTAGTGATATGGGAGTTCTTACGGATCTCGGAGGCGATGGTGGAACGGAGCTGGGATTTGGTTACGACGTCGTCTAGGTTATAGATATCCATAATTGCCGGGATTGATCTACAAGCGATTCTGAAGAAATCGAACACCCGACTTCTTGCTTCTTCCAAACTCGCTGAGTTCGGCGGTACCTTCACGCTCCTCAACGCGAACGCCATTGGGTAATCCGAGTTCGAGCTTGACTCGTTCAGTGATTCTGGAGTCCGAGGGTGAGAGATAAATAAGTAGAACTAACACCTAGAGACCTGCTGAGAACTATCAATTTGGAGCTCCGCCAAATGTCATCATTTGCTACAGTAGTACTAGGTAATTGGATGGACCGATGTTTTCGGGCTGGGCTTGAGTTAAGGATTTTGGTCTAGTCTAAACCCGGTCCAACTCAAATTCATGATTTATCAAATAGATCATACATATATATATATATATTTATTTATTTATCTAAAGTAAATTTATAATACCGAAATCATATAATATATATTAAAATGCATGATAATTTTTATTATTTTTTATAATTTTTAATTCATTTTTAATTAATTTTAATTTTTATATGATCTTAATAAAAAAATAAAAATTCTTATTCGTCTATTATGTGTAATCATACATTCATAAAATGCTAAGCTACAATTAAACAACAACTTAAACATAATATATTATAAACCATATTGTTCATCTAAAAAGCAATTTAAGCTTTTTTAAATTTCAAGAATTATAAAAATCTTTTCTTTTTTATAAAAAAATATTTTCTTCAATTCATTTGTAAAACACTAAAAATTTTGCTGCTTTTTTTTTTTTTTGATAAAATGCCAAAAATCAATCTTTAAATAGTTAGATTAATAATTGCTTTTTATGATAATGTTGACATGGATATGGATATATATATATATATATATATTTATATATTTATATCATTTGATTAAATTGTGAAAAATATTTTCTATTAGTAAAATATTCCTAAACTATTGAATCATAATATTATATCTATATATATATATTTGATTAAACAATAAATCATAAATATTAATTTGATCATAACCATTTGCCTTTTATTAATTCTTATTTTTGATATACTTCAAGTAATTATTACACAAATATATTGGCCTAACAATTATTTTTATGTTAACAAAATAAAGTCATTTTTTTAGATACAAGACAAACAATGATTCTTTATGTTATGCTTAAAAATATATCATATATTTTTTTGAAATATTATTTATTTTATTCATTTTTTACATTATTGATAGAGTATATTAATGATCATGATTCTTCTCATACCATCTATTGTATACAAAGAAAATCAATAACAAAAAGTGCTGAAAAAGAGAATATAAATTTATATATTAATTTATCGAGATTAAAAATATACAATAATAACGGAAAATATGTTAATAAATTAATAGAGAATAAAAACATTAAAGAAATGAATAAAACAAAAAATATATAATATGAAAAGTTAATTATAATCAATTTAAACAAAATTAAAAAAAAGTAATGAGCTTAAAAGAAACAAATAAATTAACAAAATATGCAATAGAAAAAATATTTAAATTAGAACATAAATAAAACATTATATTTGTTTCCAAAAATATAAACATATTTTTATCGAACTTCTTTAACAACATTCAAATGTCTTATCTTTTTATATAAAAATGCAAGCTCTTATTACTTTAGTAGTACATGATTTCTGGTCAATAATTTATTAACTTAAAATCAACCATCATATAAGTTTTAAATAAATTCTAATATCTTATCAATTCAAATTTTAATCTATTTTCTTTTTCTTAATTATTAATTTCAATATAAACAATATTTTGAGGAGTAATGAAGATAAAAAATGGATTTATTTGTTCTTGAGTACAATATGGCTTTCACTTCTTTCTAGCTTTTGCCAATTCTTATCAAAACCAAAAAACTATAATTCTCAAATAAAAAAATACTTATCTTTTAAAATTTCTAATTATAATAATAACAAATAAAATAATATTGGCTTGAATGGGATGGTCTTTCTTATGCTCGTTATTTTCGTTTTCAAATTCTAATTATAGTATATAATAATTTATAAAGCACACACACATTTACACACATATATAATTAAATTTAAATAATTTATTAAATAAAATTATTTGGCAAAAAATAAAAATTTATTAAGTATACAAATTTGAAATTGTGATTAAATTTAAAAAGAAAAAAATAAATTATGACTTAATATATTTGAATTTAAAATTTATACAAAATTTTTAATCTTAAATAAATTTTGTTTTGAAGTTAAATAATTATTGAAAAATTAAATTAAATAGTTTACTAAAAAAATTTTATTTAATAAATAAAATAATATAAGAATTATCCTATATGTCATTAAAAGAGACCATCTACTTAGACATCCACATAAGTAATTTTTATCATATAATCTTATATGTTGTAATATAATATATACATTAAATTACAACATACATAGACACCTGACAAAATTTGTCACATGAACTCTTATGCTTATGTGCACAATTTTTTTTGAATAACACATAAGATAAACTTTTTAAAAGAGTATGGTATTTTTTTTAAATTACAAATTAGATAATATTAAATTTCTCAAATAAAAAAATATTAAAATTATAATTGAAAATCAAATAAATTCAGATATGTTTTTTAAAATTAAAAATCTAAAATATGAATTTTATCTTCATAATAAATAATTTTAGTTATTTATCAAATAACCTTATTTGAGAAATTATTTAATTATAAAAATCTTTCAATATGTTTAAAAATTACAAAGATTAAATTGATTCAAATCTTTCAACAACCCTTTTTGAATCAATCAAAAATTATTTTTTTTTTCAAAAATTTATGTAATATATTAAAAATTAAAGCAATTTTTCATATTAAATCTTTAAAACAGTAAAATCATAAAAAGGATTATATTCATCTCAAATTTAATTTTCAAATTTATATTTTAAATATAAACAAAAAATTTTATTTCATCTTTATCACTTATTATATCTTTTTTAAATTAAAAAAATTAATTTAAAAATTACCTATTCAATCTTAATTGCCACTCAATAGCTTTTTTTTTTTTTTTACAAATTTAAGATTATAAATGCAATTTGATAGATCTTTTTTTTTTCAGTTTGCAACTATTTTCTATATTTTATTATTATTACAGTTTATTTTTTTTGTTTATAACTTTTTTTTCAAGATATGTTTTATTACTATTGCAATTTCATTCTTATGAAAAATAATATTTTTTTCAATTTATTTTTTCTTGTTCATAAATCTTCTAATATTTTTCATATTTTGTATAGCAATTTGATTAAAATTATAAAAGTGGAAGTATGCTAATACTTTTTTTGTTATTTAATTCATCATTCAATAATATACATGTTTTGTTTTTTATGACATAATTTATTTTGATTTGATATAATCTTATATATGTATAAATATTACTGTAGATAAAATAGTCCAAAGGAAAGACATAACATTTCTACTTGCTTTTTTTCAAAAAATTTATTTTTTTAAGACAAATTAATATATATAAATTTTATATATGTTATAAATTTTAAAAATTTGAATATAATTTTGAAAAAAAAAACTAATTTATATGTATATACTTATATTAAATATATAAAATTATTTTCTACATCGTATGAGTTACAAGTAATAGCATAAAATATTATATTAGTATTTAAATTTAGAAAAATATTTATTTCCTTATGGTGTATGAATTTGATTTTCATTCTTGTGGAATTGCAGAGAGTCAGATTCCATATTACTTGGTAAAGTCTATTTGAGTATATTACGGTTAATTCAAACTTGAGAACATGGAAATTAAATATATGGACTTTGAATGAATTAGAATTTCAAGTTCACGCATAAGCTCTAAAATATTTCACATATAACAAACAATTGAAAGTCAACTAAAACCTTCCAATGAAGTGTTTTGCCGTGAGCTATGGACTACAGGGGAAGTCTTCATGAAATTTTATAATTAAAGTTCATGAAATTTTTTATTAAAAACAAATAAATTAAAATTAAAATGAAAAATTAAAAATTTTAAATTAAAATATCTCATCACATAAATTAAGTTTGTAAAATTTGAAAAAATTTTAACAAATTTTGATATATTTATTAAATAAATATTTTTAATAAAAATATTAATAAAATTTTTATCGTTGAATAAGTATCAATCAAATTTAATTTATAAACTATATTTTTAATAATTATTTTTATATATTATTGATCTTCAAATTAAATTCTATCACCGTATCAATTTAGATTTTTTATTAAAATTTTTGTTAATTTATTTTAAAAAAATTTACAAACTTCATCTAAATAACTCCAACATGTCACGAGTAGCTGCCAATCAAATTGAATCAAAATGAAAGTTCTAGCAAAATATCGACAGATTACAATAAATATGAAAGAAAATGTCCACTTTCCGGATTTCAAATTCTTAAACTTCAACATCCATCAGACGTACAAGACGAGCATGCCGTGAATTTCTTGCCATGTTGAGGTGTAAATTTCTGTGACTTTTCAATTCCTTTGCATATATAAATACCTGTCCATGCATGCAAGTCACATAACTTGAATTGTAGCAAAGCCCTTTCGAAACATCTAAAGCATGGCTTCATCGTTCATGTTTTGGCAATTCCTCTTCTTTCTCATCCTTGTATTGCTTCACCGTTTCGATGTCTTTGCTTCATCTAATGGTACTGAAACAGAGGCCCTTTTGAGATGGAAAGCTAGTCTTGGCAATGAAAGCAAGAGTTTCCTTTCTTCGTGGGTTGGAGACAGCCCTTGCAGCAGATGGGTCGGAATAGCTTGTGACGAAGGTGGTAGCATCACCAATCTCAGCCTTCCGGATTACGGTTTGAGAGGTACACTTTACAGTCTCAACTTCTTTTCCCTCCCTAACCTGATGAGGCTTAACCTTCATAATAACTCATTTCATGGGGGAATTCCTTCACAGATTGGCAATCTTTCAAAACTCTCCTTCCTTGAATTGTCCGATAATGATTTCTCAGGGAATATCCCATCTGAGATTTTCTTATTGAGAAGTGTTCAGTATATTTGTTTAGCAAGAAATCAGATCAGTGGTTCCATTCCGGAAGCCATAGGAAGGTTGAGTTCAGTTTCCGAGATCTATTTCGATTATAACAATCTAAGTGGTCCAATTCCAACTTCTATAGGAAGCTTGCCAAATTTATCCCGGCTTGTCCTTTCTGGCAATAGGCTAGGTGGTTCTATACCTAAAGAAGTTGGGAACCTGCCCATGCTCATCGTCCTTGAGTTGCCATTCAATAATTTCTCTGGAAATATTCCATCTCAAATAGGAAATATGAGTTCACTTGTTCACCTTCACATTAATGATAACGACTTCACTGGTCCAATACCTATTTCAATGGGAAACTTGCACAGATTATCTCGACTTATCCTTGTTAACAATAGACTCAGTGGCTCTATACCTGTAGAAGTTGGAATGTTGAGGTCACTCAAAATGCTTGATTTTTCAAGAAACCGCCTAACTGGTCCTATTCCAACCTCTATAGGAAATTTAAGTAACTTGGAATCGCTTTATCTTTACCGTAATGACCTCTCTGGTTCCATCCCCAATGAAATAGGATTGCTTCGATCTCTTTCCACGTTGCAGTTGCAACGTAATAATCTCACTGGTGTCATCCCTGCTGCTTCTATAGGAAACTTGTCCAACTTATTAAGTCTTTACCTTTATAATAATATGCTCTCCGGTTCAATACCTCGAGAGATTGGAATGCTTCAATCTCTCACTGAACTCTCATTGAGCAACAATACGCTTTCTGGTTCAATCCCCACTTCTGTGGGAAATATGACGAGGCTTAGCGAGTTATCTCTTTTGGATAATCATTTATCAGGTCCTATTCCTGCAACAATTAACAATCTTACTCGATTGGTAATATTACAATTGGGTGACAACTATCTGAAAGGTCAGTTGCCTGATAATGTATGCCGCGATGGCTTAGTGTCTCGTTTAATAGCACATAACAACAATTTAACGGGCCAAATTCCATCAAGTTTGAGAAACTGCACAAGTTTATTCAGACTTAGGCTTCAAGGAAACCAGCTTACAGGGAATATATCAGAAGCTTTTGGCATATATCCTAACTTGGATTATGCTGAATTAAGTGACAACAAGTTTTACGGAGAACTTTCTCCCAACTGGGGGCAATGTCCTAATCTAGCAAGCCTATATATCTCCAACAACAACATTTCTGGGGAGATACCTGTTGAATTAGGACAGGCAACTCAATTACATGAAATTGATCTCTCCTTAAATAATCTACATGGTGATATTCCGAATGAATTTGGAAGATTGACATCATTGCTAGATCTTTTGTTAAATGGAAACAAACTTTCTGGAAAAATTCCAGTAGAGATTGGAATGTTGTCAAATTTGAAACTTCTAAATTTGGCATCAAACAATCTTAGTGGATCCATTCCTGACCAACTTGGAGAGTGCTTCAAGCTAAGGGAATTGAACCTAAGCAGAAACCAAATCAGTGAAAGTATTCCTTCAACGATAAGCAGTATATATGCCCTTGAAACACTTGATTTAAGTCATAATCTGCTGATTGGAGAGATACCAAGGCCACTTGGGAATCTACAAAAATTGGAACTGTTGAATCTTTCTCATAATATGCTTTCTGGTTCCATCCCATCGGCTTCTGATGATTGGCGAAGCTTGACAGTTGTGGATATATCCAAAAATCAATTGGAAGGCCCTTTACCTGACAAAAAAGCTTTTCGGAATGCTCCATTTGATGCCTTAAGAGACAACAAAGGGCTTTGTGGCAATGCAACAGATCTAATACCCTGTGATGGTGTCCCTACCATTACTAAAAAAGCCCAAAAGAAAAGAAAGAATAGACTTGTGATTTTAATTGTGCTACCAGTTTTGGGTGCTCCAGTTCTGTTATTCATTTCAGTTGGAGGCTTTTTATTTCTTTTTCGGAAGATTTGGAAGAGAAAATTTAAGTCAAGGGAGGAGCAATCCCAAGATATTTTCGCAATATGGGGATACGATGGAGAAATACTCTATGAAAGCATCATTGAAGCTACAGAAGATTTCAGCTCCAGCTACTGCATTGGATTAGGAGGATACGGAAATGTTTACAGAGTTGTGCTGCCAACAGGTCGAGTAGTTGCTGTGAAGAAACTTCACCGATCCGAAGATCGAATGTTAATCAACCTGAAAGCTTTTGAAAGTGAAATTTGTGCTTTGGCAAACATAAGGCATCGGAACATTGTGAAGTTCTATGGATTTTGTTCGAATTCTGAGCACTCCTTTTTGGTTTATGAGTTTGTGGAAAGGGGAAGTCTAAGAATGGTTTTGAGTGTTGAGGAAAGAGCAATGGAATTAGACTGGAACAAGAGGATAAATGTTGTGAAAGGGTTAGCCAATGCTTTGTCTTACATGCACCATGACTGCTCACCACCAATTATTCATCGGGACATTTCCAGCAACAATGTTCTTTTGGATTCGGATTATGAAGCTCATGTCTCCGACTTTGGCACAGCTAGGCTTCTTAAGCCTGATTCATCCAATTGGGCCTCATTTGCAGGCACCTTTGGGTATGTTGCTCCAGGTATGTAGTTAATTTCTCTCAATTTCAGCTTTATAATTTATTACCAAATTATTTTCTACTTCAAAATGCAAAAGTATCTACCAAACAAACATATGAACGTAGCTCAAATGGTTCACTCATCTCTCTTAGGAGACGGATTCCTACAAGGTTGGTGTTCGGTTTCCATCAGTTGCAAAGTTCCCTTCCTCTATTTTCCTAAAGCTTTGACCTTTTTGTAAAAAAAAAAAGGGGCCAAGATTGTCTATAGGATTGAAATACTGTTATTCCGAATTAAATTTAAGTGATTACATATCCAAATTAATGTAGGCATAGCATTTATTTATATGTTGGAAGCTTTTATTGATTAAATGTTACTTTTGAATCTCACGAACAAGATTAAATTAATCAAATCTTTTTTTCTAGAATTGGCTTATACAATGGAAGTCAATGAAAAATGCGATGTCTACAGTTTCGGTGTAATTACTATGGAAATACTGATGGGAAAGCACCCTGGTGATCTTATTTCAAGTTTATCATCATCGTCATCATCGTCGCTACAAAACTGGCAACAGATTTTATTGAAGGATGTCATAGACCAACGTCTCTCAGTTCCATTAGACCAAGCTGCAAACAATGTGGTCTCTGCTGCAAAGCTAGCATTTGCATGCTTGCATATCAATCCACAGTTTCGCCCGACAATGCGACAAGTTTCTCAATCTCTTTCCAGTCAACGGTTTCCAACGTCCAAGCCTTTCTCGATGATAACATTGGGAGAATTGTTCTGTTATTAAGGGTGTTAGCGTATGAGGTGGTAGCCATTTTAGATTTTCAGCAATTTTAGGTGTAGGTGTGTTTGAGAAGCGTCCTGGACTTTTAATAAGCATTTTTATTGTATCAAGATCTGGTTGTTCATGTCTTTAGCTTCTAGTTTTCATGAGAGACTGTTCAAGGTTTCACCATGGAAGAAGCCTCTTTTAGAATGTGTGAGAAATCATACATTAGAAATAATAAAAGTTTTTGAAGGTTCGTTGTATTATTGAGATCCAAACTGTTTTTATCCTCCATGCGTGTCAATCATGTTGTATCACTGTTTTTTTTTTGGTTAGCATTTTTTATTGAACATCACTATAAAATCCCAGTTACGAGAACTTAATTATCAAACAGTTAAACGAAAATCCTGGGCTAGCCATAAAGATCAATGGACCTGTCCACCTTAATTTTCAAGTGGTTCAATAATTCAGTGGCCCAATTTAGTTCTTTCAACCATCTGCATTTCCTATTTAATGATCTCGTTCCAATCAAGCATTTAGCATTATAGAGTGAACATTGTCAACATTGCAATGCTAACATCTTGATAATCAAGTATTTTGAGCCAAAGGGGAAAAACCCTGTATGAATTTCAACAGATCTAGAGGAAATTAAATCTAAAATGGTTACAGCAACATTTCTGGTTAGTCTTCTGTATATGTGTTAATGATATCAAGTTTTACATTTCTCCAAACTCAGCTATAATGCATGGTAGTTTTGGCATGTTGTTGGGTCCAGTAGCCACATTCTCTATCTTTCGAACAACAAGAAGACTATCTCCAAGCACCCTCTAAATGACCATGGACAAAATAATTCTTGTCATTTCTAAGAATGCATTTAAGTTTTAAAAAGACGGGGAAATCTGGATGTATTTGGCACAAGAAGGTTAAAGAACATACCCCAAATACAACGTGCTTATCATCAAGCCACTCACATTTGATAAAAAACTGCAGTCAATAAACACCAAAATCAATGTAGTTGAAAAGTTTGTAACAAGTAAACAAGATGATAAAAGTTTTACCAAGATATTTCAGAAATCTTATCCAAGTGAAAACACGAGATGTGCTAGAAGCATTTGCAATAACCGCGCTTCCATCAAATCTCAATTCACCTAGCTGGGAGTCTGCAGCCAGAGAATACCTCTAGCATAGATTTGGTACAAATAGCAACATTCTACCACCTTGTGTCCTTTTAATTTGAGGATACTTGATTATTATTCATGCTGTGCATAAAAGGACACCAGTATTTTTTTAGAAGCATGCAATTGCATGTGCTTGTTCAAGGGTATTCATGTAAGGGGGAGAGAGAGAGAGAGAGAGAGAGAGAGAGAGATACCTGACACCTATTGGTGTTGGTCCACTGTGTGCCTGCAATGGAAAAGGTAAAGAGTATGATTTAGGAAATTTCATTGAACTTATACACTCCTAGTACCTCTACCATATATATATTTTTTTATTTCTCTTTCTCCCTCCAGTGTGAAAGTTTTGGAAAAAGGCTTGGTGGAGGGAAGGATGCAGATTACACCAAGTTTATCACCAAAAAAAGAGGGCAGGTAGTGAACATCAGCAACTGGAGGGAGGGGCTATGAAACTTAAGGCACTCAGCAAGATTATCAAGATATTCGAACAAAATCCTTTCCCGTGAAGCTGCCACTTCTAATTTTTCTCAATCACTTCAAATGAAAACAACATGCAAAGTTTTAGTTAAAGAAGACAGTGTTTTCTATATCTTCCTTTATAAATGCAATATTTACACAAAGTGAAAATGTAGTTTAACTAGTTGGATCATGACAATGATGGCAGCAACAAACTCTGTTTTACAGCATAAAAGAACTCAACTCCAGAGTTCTACCAAAAGGCAAATTTTCCTATTCCCAAGTCATAAAAAAATTAACTAATGGGGGCCCTATATTCTTAGAGCAACAAGTTCCTAGTTGCCACAAGAAGCCAGGTTAAAAAAATAATTGTTAGTAAGACCAAAAAGAAAAGATTGACTTGCAGAGAAATAATTGTTTGTTATACCACTCAATAGATTCTCCATGACACTAGTCAACAATGCAGCCACAACAACTGACGAACTGTACTCATTAGTACCAATACAGCATAGTATAAATCTACAGTCTGATAAAAATCAGCAAGCACACATTATGCAGCTTTTTAGTTTCAGCAGCTTGAATGAGTTCCAAAACCTTACACATTACACTAAACCAACCTAAAGGATACGCACACATTAAAAGTTGATATGCCTTACGTGCAGGCACATAAAACATGAAATAATCAGGGAGAGAAATAAACCGAAAACATTCATTAAACCTTTCAGCTTGAAAATCATTTAGAGAAAAGGAAAAAATGTAGCTACACAATATTATATAGAAAACAGTATACCATTGATAGCAAACCAGGACCAGTGTCTTTTGCAATGAAATTTTCATCTTTGAAAAAATATAGAGAAAAGGAAAAAAATGCAGCTACATAATATTATATATAAAACAGCATGCTATTGATAGCAAACCAGGACCAGTGTGTTTTGCAATGAAAGTTTCATCTTCGAACTTATGCCCATATATGGAAGAACATCCACTACCATCTCCCTGCAATGCAAGATTTTACGGTAACTATTATACAAAATTGGAGCAAATTGGTCTCAATAGCTTTATTGTTATCAACAAAGATTTATACTCTTGTGCATATGCTTAACAAATCAAACTAATGGTCTAAGCTATTGACCTACCATTACCTTGGCAAACACCACCTTCCAATTATTGGGTAAAAACTATCCTTTATAGGAATATTGGGTCTCTCATTCAGGCTCGGGACATTCAATGAAGAATGTAACAACAGTGAATCGATTACTTCAATCATGTTTTCCTCAAATTGTCAAGTAAAAAGCTTAACTTGTAAAATAATCTAGCTTTAACAGAAGTATCAGTCAAAATAATTATTCCCAACTACATGAAGAATTCACAGTCTACAGGAAATCTCAATAAGCTAATTCTGGGTACTCACTTATATGAAAGAGCAGAGTAGCTAAGATTATAAATGCAAAAGGAAAGATGATATAGTAAGCTACCAACTTGTCAAAATCTCCAGCTTGAATCATAAAATCTTCAATAACCCTATGAAATTGACAACCCTTGCAACCAACAGGCAGCCCTGCTTTCCTGATATTCAATCCAATTAATAAAATGGGTAAGTAGCAATTACTCATGTAGATGCAGATAACTAAAATTTTGAAAAGAAAAAAAAATACCCTGCATTGGCCAGTGCATAGCTGCCGGCCAAATGGGAAAAAAAATCAAAATTAAAATAGAAATTATAAGAGTGAAAAATAATCATAGAATAAGAACAAAAGGGAAGGAAGTGGCAGACTGACAGGACCCGAAATTTTCGGCTGTTTTAGGAGCAATATCAGCGAAGAGTTCCATTTTGATACGACCGGCAGGGATGGAACCGACTGTTAAATCGAAAAAGACGATTAGGTTTTTGGGATTCGGTGGCCTAACGAGCCACTCCACTCCTCCAACAGAAGCCCTCGCCACTGCACGCGCCTCTCTTTTTTTTTTCTCTCAGAGTATGGCTCTAGAACGTTTCAGTTTGCAGGCTTTTGTCACTCCGGCACCGCCATCGGGGTTTTGTTTATCTTCACCAGTTTTGGCTAAAACTATTTTGTTTACTTTGTTCTATTTTCTTTTCTTTTTTTTTTTTAATTTCTAAGATAAGTCTAACCTGATGAAAAAAATAAAAATGTTTATATAGCAGATTTCTTTTTCAATATAAATTTAAAGGTAAATATAATTACAGAACTTACTCTATAATTTAAAACACTCATAAAAGAATTAAATTATTAAATTTTAAAAATAAATAACAAATCTTATAATAATTTAAGAAATTTTAGTCTATCACCCTTCTTTTAAAAAAATATATATATATATATATGATCTAAATCATTTTCATTCATAAGATCTAAATTTGATGATATTCTTATTATCAATGGCAAACTATTAAACCTATTGGCATTTCATTGCATTCTAATTAAAAATAGAAAGATATCAAACTTCGTGGAAAGATTGCAACATAATATATACAAGGTTAAATATATATTTGACCTCTGAATTTTGTAATTTTTATCAAATTAGTATCTAAAGAAATTTTTTATTATATTGGTATTTGAACATTAAAATTCATAATCACATTGATATCTGAATGATAAATTTTTTTTCATATTTTTTAATTTTACAATTTCAAATTTTTATATATTTTTTGAAATTTAAATTTTTTTGGATTTTTATTAAAATTTTAAGTTTTTTTTAATATTTTTTAAATTTAAAATGTTTCAAAATTTTGAAATTATTTAATTCATCAAAAAATTTTAAAAGCTTTTAGATTTTTTCTTATTTTCAGTTTTTTAAGTTCTTTTTATTTTTAAAATTTTAAAAAATTTTAATTTTTATCAATTGTAATTTTTTTAATTTTTTTTAAAAAATTCACAATACAATAATTTTTATAATTTATAAAACTATTTCTTATTTTTAATTTTTTATAAATTTTAAAATTTTGAAAATTTTTTTATAATTTTTCTAAATTTTTAGAATTGTTTGAATTTTAAAAATTTTTTAAATTTTTAAAAATTTTGAGAAATTAAAAAATTTTTTTGAATATTAAAAAAATTTTAAATTTTTTATAAATTTTTTAGTATTTTTTCATAATTTTTTTAAATTAAAAAGTTTTTCATAATTAAAATTTTTTTAGAATTACTTGAAATTTTTAAAGTTTTTAAAATTTTTAAATTTTTTTTCTGAATTTTCTTTTAAAGATGATGTGACATTGATGATGTAGCACTAAGTGAACTTTTTAACATATATTAGTATTTTATTATATATCATATTATGTCAGTAAAGTTGAGTAATGACGTTAGTCCCAAATACCAACCTGATAACATATTTGAATGTTTAGGTATTAATGTGATAAAAAAATTATTTAGGTACAAATGTAATAGAAATTACAAAGTTTAGGGGCCAAATACATATATTTAACTCAAATATAAATAATATAATCAATGAATTTAAAATTTATTGAAATTTCATAATAACAACTATAATAACAATTTCAAAAAGGAAGAATTAGTAAATCAAAATGTAAATAATAAAATTTATGAAAAAAATCATAAAACAAGATAAAAAGATAAAGTGCAAATGGACTTAACATCTTATTGAATAGCCATACAACAAACTTCGAACTTTTAAAGATGACAAATTTCAAAACCTTACAATAACAATTAAACGAAACCATTAAAAACAATTAGATTATAAATTAAGTAAAGATAAAATAACATGCATAAAAGAAATATAAATAACATCAAATTTTATTATTTCTAATAATAAAAATTTGAATCTTTCTAATAATTAATAACAAATATCATTATAAGTTTTGATTATAATCCTTGTTTTGGATTTTTTTTTCATTTTTATAAATAAATTTATGAAGGCAACCATGATAAAGCTATATAAATTAGGTAGTATAAATAAACTTAAAGGATCCTAAACACCATCAAAGCATATATCTATTTTGTAATAAAACAATTTCTACCATCTAAAGTAGGAAGAAATACTTTTTGAATGTAACAAAAAAATAATTATATTTAACCAAAATAGCAAATTCCATTCAAATTAACTTGACACTAAGAAGGCCAATTAAGAATTCTATAAAATAATCATGAAACTAAAAAAACTAACATACTATAATTCACAAATAAAAATGAATATATAGTATAATAATCAATAATAAAGAATCTCATAAAAGATCTAGAAATTAAAATGAAAATAAAATAATATCAGTATCTCATATTATGGTAAAAGCAGAGATCACATGAAAAGAAAAAAAAATTAATAGGGTAATAATAGTAAAAGAATCAACAATAGAAACCATTTTGGCATGATTGTGCTTTGTGATAAAAGAGCTAAAAGCATTTAATGTCTCATCCATTAAGGCAATGTTATATTCAATAATTAAATAAAGACAAATTATTAAGTAATTAAAATATATCGACCTTTAATGAGCAAGCACTTTATGATAATGAGCCTATATATAGTGGCATAGTTTTATTGTGAATTGTGATCAATCTTGAATCAAATATATTGGAATTCAAATGAATTGTGACCAACCTTGAATAAAATATATCGAAATTAAAAGAAAAAAAGATTAAGCATATAATGAGGTAAGTATGGTCCATTCACATACCTAATCCTCAATTACTAAAAGTACTTTTAATAATAATCCATTACTTAAAGAAAGGAAAAAATTGTTGATTGTTAATTCAGTAATTAGCCTTAAGCTTCTTTCTTCTTTGTCCTATAGAAGAAAGAATGGAGCTTATGGAAAGCAAACATTTTTAGGAGTTTTGATCATATACCTTGCTTTTAGATTTTCGTTGTTTTATATAAATAAATTTATATAGATAGCCATGGCAAAGCCATCATTTAAACCCTGTGAATAAACATAAATTAATTACCCTAAAACCATTTGAGGCATATAATTTATTTTTGCATTAAGGAATTTCCACCATCTAAGGCATATAATAAATTTAATATTGAACTAAGTCTGCCAACTTGATTATTGATGGGTCATGTAGCATAAACCCTAAACCAAATTTTAATAAATAATTGAACTTGTAAAATTAAGAAAAAAATAAATAATAAAAAATTTGCTCTTTTATGTGACATCCAATCAATAGGAAAAAGAAAAGACTAAAGGATAAATGATCACAATAAAAATAATTTAACCCAAAAAAAAAAAAAAAGCTTACCTTTTGGGTGATGAGTCACATTGTGAACTTTTATCACAAGGAGGAGCCCTTTATATCATTACCTTCAACAACTCAACCTTAGTTGATGCTGCAACCTGCCACTTCATTAATATTAACATATTACTATTTATAAGGAAAAAAGCATAACCAAAAGGAAATATAAGTCAATCTCCAATAAACATAAAAAATTTAGAAGTTCTTTCCTTTACTTTTTTACATAGTTCAATCCAAAATTAATTCAAGGCCCTGATCTTCAAGCAAATTAACAATAGGATTTCTACACAAATCCATATCCACACAACAACATTAAAAAACTAGAAGTTTATATCAAGCAAATGCTTTTCACACATTTACCATAAAAATGTTATCTTTTGCCAAAAACGGTTTATTCCTTACCTGAACATATTTGATTGGATCAAACGCTTTAAATTGCTCAATCCTCCTCTTATAAGCAATCAAAACATCACCAATCTCACTTACTTCTAAATCCAACAATCGAATTGACTGAACTGGAGTTTCACTAACCATATCATGAAACCTGAAAATAGGTACGACCCAACCCCACACGCTTAAGGCATAACACAATCTTTTTCATTGCAAAAAATGACTTTCAATATGTTGAATGTAGTCAAATCAATAAAAAAAATGTTAAAAAATCATTAATGTTTTAGTTGGATCTCTCTTATCTTTTTGTGCTTTGATTAGAACCCTGAAATTGCTTCTGAAAAGAGAAGGAAAAACAAAAAATAAAAAGGATAAAATGATAGCCACAAATGACCATACCGAAATAGGGTACTGGAAAATCAAAGAGAAATTATGGTTTTCTAAAGAAAGAATGGGAAAATCTAAAAAGAGGGTAAAGATTAAAAAAAAAAATTCACACTTCTCCCTTACTCTTTTCTTCTTACTTCTAACATTTTATCAATGCAAAAGCCATGTTACGTGCAGATAAAGTACAAAAGGTAAAAGAAAAAAAATAAAAGAGAAAATTAAGGATAAAGTTAAATGTCATGTCTCATTTACCCCTTCGTACTTTTAATTTTTTCATCCAATTAAAGGTCTTGTGAAGATAAGGCTTAAAAGAAATAAAAAGTAAAAAAATAAAATAAAATGCCAATCGGATGGTGTTAGATTGCTAGAAATCTTGTAAATTTATTATATTAATTTTTTGATTAACATGTATCTTGCCTTAATCACCACAGATTCTGTGTTGCAAAAATCATTTTCCCTATTATTAGTAAACTACCAGAAGATCTAGAATTTTAGGACAAAATCTCAATTAAAAAAACAAAAATAAAATTTCAAATAAACTATCTTTAGCATTTGATCATTCACAGCCAACAATTTCTCCAACATTCTAAGCATCATTCTTATTTTTCTTTCCCGAATGCAAAATTCCAAAAAAAAATCAATTCACCCAAGAATCAACAAAATCACTATCCCTAAAATAACATTTATCTTGCACCCAACAACAATTCCACCAAAAAATAAAAAAGATTAAGAGCTATGCATTACCCATAGCTATCGCTGTTTTAGTCTGATGATTTTTTATCATCCTTTCCATCATCTACAATATTTTGATAATCTCTTTTTCACCAGCAGTTGTCACAATTCCTAGCTGTTTCTCGACTCTCCAAATGGCTTCTGCTTCTTTCAAGAAGTTTTTTCTTTGAAACCTCTACAAATCACTCTATATCGATTCTTAAAGTCCTCATAAAAAAATCGACCCATTTGCGATCACCACTTCCTCATTCAATTTTTTGCTAGTCGACTGATTTTTCTTGCATCGATTCGGTATAGAATGAACTCATTATTAAAATTTTAAAAAAAGCAAAAAAAAAATCATGGTTTGATCAATCTTATTTTTTAATGTTGAACCTAGCTTTTTAACCATTTCTTCCTCTAATTCTTCTTCCTTTGTTTTCCTCT